ATTGGAACGGGACCGCGGTGACGGAGAAGCCGAGGAGAAAGCAGAAGGTGATCGCGGGCTTGTTTGTCAACGTGGCGACCGCAGTGATGGCGCTGACGTGCGACGCCACCCCCTACGACAACGTCATGGACACCAACAAGCACAGACTCTACGACAGGGAGTCGACCTACCAGAACACGTTCGAAGCCAGGTCAGCCAGGAGGCCGGTTCCTTCCTTGGTGAAGCAGGGCAGGGAGAAGGATCACAGGCAGATGGAGGAGTTCCTGGTCTTCGACCGCGTGCCGAAGAACCTCGCGAAGGGCAAGCGCGTCCGCGGGAAGTGGGTCGACGATGAGCTACGACGGCAACGGCAGGGAGTCGGTCAGGTCGCGCTTCGTGGCCATGCAGTTCGCCTGGGACGTGCGGGGCGACACCCAGGCACGCCACCGCTGGCCGCGTTCAGGCTGGTGGTCCCTTTCGCATCAAGCCTCTGCTCCACGGGGATCGGCTACGACGGCATGCTCGCTCTGTACGACGTGTCGGTGGCATTCTTCCACGCGCATATCGAATCGATGAGGGCATTTATGTGGTGCCGCCCAAGGGAGAGGAGCCCGAAGGCATCGTGTACCAGCTGAAGAGGGCACTCTACGGCACCAGGAGGGCCTCGTTCTTGTTCCAGAACCTGATCATGTAGGTCATGGAGAAAGGAGGTTTCGCCCGCACCAAGGTGACGGTTCACGTCTACTACCACAAGGAGCGCCTGCTGCTGGTGATTGTTCATGGTGACGACTTCCTGGCTGGAGGAAGGAACGACGCGCTCGACTGGCTGGACGAGTTGGTGAAGGGCCACTGCAAGGTCAAGGTGGTGCCCAGGGTCGGGGGCCCGAGACAAGGAGGAGTTGTGCCAGGCAGCTTCCTCAGGCGCGCAGTGACGTTGTGCCCCGAAGGCGTCGGCGTCACGCACGATCGCAAGCACGTGAAGATCCTGGTTAGCACCATGCTCAGCATGAAGACCGGCGAGAGCAACACCACCAAGCGTACGATCACTCCGTCTTTCAAGACAATCGGGAAGGACTGCAGAGAGTCAGCCGACGAGCTCAGCACGGAGTTCGCGACCACCTACCGCAGCATGGCGCATACCGCACCCTACGTCGCGCACGACTGCTTCGACATTCAGCAGGCCGTCGGCTACCTCATGAGGGGCATAGTGGCACCGACTTGGCACCATTGGCTACTGCTTCGACGCTTGGCCAGCTACCTGGAGCAGCACCCGCAGTTCGAGCTCTTCTTCGAGTTCCAGAGGATGCCGAAGGTTCTCGTGGCGGAGATCGACAGCGACTGGGCATCAGAGCCTGGTCGTAGGTCCGTGGACGGTGGTTTCCTGTTCATTGGCCCGTGCCTGATCGACGGCTGGAGCGGCCAGCTGGGCAACCGCGCCCTGAGAAGCGCCGAGGCAGAGTTCACGGGCATTGTGAATGGATCGGCGAGGGGCATCTGGTTCCGCAGCGCGACGTTGGAGATGGCTTCTTGGCGACGCTGCAGGTCAAGGCGGACAGCTCTGGAGCCAAGGGCATCGCATCGCGCCTCGGATGACGTAAGGTGCGCTCTAGGCGCAGGAGAAGGTCAGGGACAGGACCATCACGATGGCGAAGATCCACACGGATGTCAACAGGGCCGACATGCAGACGAAGCCGTTGGACGGGCCGAGATTTTTGAAGCTGCTGGCGTTGCTTCCACTTCGGACACCGTCCTCAGGGCGCGCGCAGGTTTTCGGAGTCATGCTGGCGGACACCATGCTCGGTGGAGTTCAGAGCTCGGCAGTCATTCCATGCAACCAGGCGGCGATGGTGGTGAGCAGTTCGACCGCGGCGGAGCGGATCTTGACGACGATCTTCACAGTGATGTTCGGCTCGACGTTGGCGATCGCATTCCTGGCGACGTGGATCGTGCACCGCATATACAAGGCGCCGCTGCGGTTCCTGAAGGGCTTATGGGAGCTCGTGAAGGCCGACGAGGACGAGTGCGGGCTGGCGGCGCGTCCACCGGCTGAGGAGGAGCATGAGCAGCCAATCGATGGGCTGGAGATCGAGGACCGCTCGAGGCCAAGCCGCCACGCGCAGACGGCACCCGCGCCGCCCCACTGGACGTGGAGCGCAGTGGACCGCAGAGCGGAGCGTGAGGACTGAGGATCTACCACGGTCAGCTCAAGGCGCAGATGATCGAGGAACTGCTCGTCGGAGCAGGGCGCAAGTGAATGCTTCTTCTGTTGCTGTGGCACCGCCTTTTCACGTTTACGACGCAGCTGCAAGAGGTGGCGTCGCCCGTTTGCTCCCCCTTCTTGCGCGTGCTCGAGGGCCCGAGAGGATTAAGCCCAGCGTCGCGGCGCTGGCCCTCGGAGGAGAAACGAGATAGGCCCGCGGGCGAAGGTGCCAGATCTTGTCTGTGCTAGGATGACCCAGGACGGTTCCTGTTCAGCTGATGTGCCCCAGGTTAAGCCCAGGGCCCAAGGAGGAGCGAAGTGCAGAAGCACTCCCCCCCGAAGGGTTTCGGATATGCTTAGCACACGTTCGGAACGATAGTTGTTTCGGATCGGGTTTAAGGCTCGACAGATGCTTCAGCGTTTGATGCTCCTGCAATCGTTCCGGCCCTAGCGCCCCGAGGTGAAAGGGGGTCCTCTCGAGGCCCTGCGGGGCCCAGTACCGATCGTGATACTCCAGCGCGATTCAGCAGAAAAAAAAAAAACGAAAGTAAGGCGGGCCGGAGTCAGGGGGGGGCCCAGCGCGTTTGTCGCTGGGAGGGTGGCGCGCAAGAGCTTGTGCCCAGAGGCTCCAGAAGGCCAGCGATGTCAGGGGTGGCGGGGGGGGGCCCGGCGCAGGTGTTGTCGGGTGGGCAGAACTTGTGCCCAGGGCTCCGGGGAGCTGGCGGTGTCGGGGGTGGTGGGGGGGTCCCGGCGTTTTTTGGGGCTGGGTGGGTTGCCCCGAGAAGAAAGACGGTGGGTTGGGGGGTGCCGTGGCGAGGGGGGCGGGAGGGGGGCGCGGGAGGTGGGTTGTTCCAAAGAGACTGCGGGGCGGGGGGTGCCACGGCGACGAGGGGGGCCAGGAGGGGAACCGGGGGGGGCGTGGGCTGGCGCTGGGCGACCAATTGCAGGGCGGTTTGTCCCAAGAAGAGAGGAAGAGAGACTGCGGGGCGGGGGTGCCGTGGCAAAGAGGGGGTCCAGGAGGAGGGCCAGGAGGGAAGCGTGGGCTGGTTCTGTGCGAGAATTTCTGGGACACAGTGGCGAGGAGGAGGGCCAGGAGGGGGAGCAGGAGGGGTGCGTGGGCGAGAGATTGCAGGGCGGGTTGCCCCAAGAAGATCGACTGTGGGTTTGGGGGGGGGGCGTGGCGAGGACGGGGGCCCAGGAGGGGGGCGCGGGCTGGTTTTTAAGGAGAAATTGCAGGGTGGATTGCCCCAAGAAAAATGATTTTGGGTCGGGGGGTGCCTTGGCGAGGAGGGGGGCCAAGATGGGGGCTGGGAGGTGGCGGGGAGGGGGTCCCGGAGGGGGGCCGCGGACAGGTTTTGGGCGGGAAATTGTAGGGTGGGTTGCCCCGAGCAGAGAGACTGTGGGTTGGGAGGTGCCCTGGCGAGGAGGGGGACAGGAGGGGGGCCCCGGGAGCGGGCGTGTGCTGGTTCTGGATGAGAAATTTCATGGTGGGTAGGCTGTGGGGTGGGGGGTAAATCGTCGCGTGGGGGGTCCCAAGAACAGGGGTTCCGTGGGTGGGGGTGCCGGGCCGAGTGAGGGGCTTGGAAGGGGATGAGGATGGGGGCGTTGGTCGCTTCCGGCCAGGATATCGTGATGTGGGGGGTCCCAAGAACAGGGGTTCCGTGAATGGTGCCCGACCGAGGAGGGGGGCGAGGGGAGGGGCGGGGAGGGGGGCGTTGGTAGTTTTTGGCAGAGAAATCGTGGTGTGCGGGGTCCCAAGAACAGGGGTTCTGTGGGCGGGGGTGCCGGGCCGAGGAGGGTGGGCGTGGAGACGAGGCGAGGAGGGGAGCGTTTGTCGTTTTTGGCAAAGAAATCGTCGTGTGATGGGGGTTCCAAGAACAGGGGTTCCGTGGGTGGGGGTGCCGAGCCGAGGGAGGGGCGCGGAGGGGGGCGAGGAAGGGGGCGTTGGTCGTTTTTGGCCGAGATATCGTGATGTGGGGAACCCCAAGAACAGGGGTTCCTTGAGTTGGGGTGCCGGGCCGAGGAGAGGGGCGAGGAAGGGAACGTTGGTCGTTTTTGGCTAAGAAATCATGGCGTGGGGAGTCACAAGAACAGAGGTTCCAGGGGTTGGGGAACTGGGCCGAGGAGGGGGGCGAGGAGGGGGGCGTTGGTCGTTGTGGGCTGAGAAATCGTGGCGTGGGGGCTCCCAAAAACAGGGGCTCCGTGGGTGGAGGTGCCGCGCCAAGGAGGGGGGCGTGGAGGTCGGCGAGGAGGGGGGTGTTGGTCATGATTTGGCCGAGAAATCGTGGTGTTGGGAATTCCACGAACAAGGATTCCGTGGGTGGGGGTGCCGGGCCGAGGAAGGGGGGCGTTGAAGGGGGCGAGGAGGGGAGCGTTGGTCGCTTTTGGCGGAGAAATCGTCGTGTTGGGGCTTCCAAGAACAGGGTTGGGGGGCGTGGACACGAGGCGAGGAGGGGGGCGTGAGTCGTTCTTAACAGAGAAATCGTGGTGTGGGGGGGCCCAAGAACAGGGGTTCCGTGGGTGGGGGAGCTGGGCCGAGGAGGGGGGCGTGGAGGGAGGCGAGGAGGAGGGGGGTGGTAATGTTTGGGCGAGAGTTCGTGGGGTGGGGGGGTCAAGAACAGAGGTTCCGTGATGGGCGGGAAATTGTGTTGGTCAATGTTGGTCAATTTCCCTCACACGCCTCTGGGGCCGGCGGATGTTTTTACATTTTTCGTTATTGTTGAATTGTTTGAGTACTTTCGATTTTTCCTCCAAGGTCCGCCTGTAGGAAGACATGCCCGACCTAAGGCCGGGACCGCCCGCGTTTCCCGGCCGGCCGCAGGACGGCGGAGGGCTGCACGCGCTGTCGCTTCCTCCCGGGCGTGCCTGCGCCGTGAGCGGGGCCGCCGGGCAGCACGCGCCCGCGTGCGCACGCGGCCCGGGCGCTCGCCTTGCCAGTGGGGCGTTGCGTAGCGTGGGGGCGATAGCACGGGGGGGGGGAGAAAGGTGCAGACATGATTGCGTCGTAAGAAAATCAGGACGGGCGGCTGTTGGCCATTTTCGGCCTCGGGGGGCCCTCGCCGGGACACAGGACCTTCAAAAAACGATTCAGGATGAGAAGTTTGTCCCAGGGAACGGGTCTGGATTTCCAGGGCCCCGTATTCGAAAAAACATAACATCGCATGTCTGCGGGTGCACCTCTCGCGCACCCTAGGGGCCCTAAAGCGGCCAGGCCCAAAAGGGGCACGAAAGGTGCACCTCTCGTTCAAGCTGTGGCGAAGCGTCATGGCTTGATTGTAGGCCCACCAAAAGGAATGTTCTAAGAACCTCTTCTGTGGTTTGCACGACATGTGATCAGAGCATTTCTGGCTGAGACTGTCTTGGTTGAAAACATCGGGCTTATGTTCTAAGAATATTGTATTTGTTATTGGAACATGTGTGGGTTCTAAGCGCATTTCGTGGTAGGCCTTTCGGAATGCTGTGACGGTCGCGCCTTCTGAGAAGCAGCCTCCTTCTCAGAAGCCCTCCCCCTCTCTCCACCCCTTTGTGCGCGCCGCCGACTGGGACGCGGATTGAAAGAAGCATATCGGCGGATGTCTGCGCTCGAGCTGGCTGACTCCGCGTCGCTCGGCCGAGGGCCCGGGCCCGTCGTTTTGAAGCTCTTTCAAGCTCCTTCCCTCGGCAGCCGTCGTTGCCGGTCCGCGCCCTCCTGTCGCGCAGAGCTCTACTGCGTTGTCCTTCTCGTTTTCTCTAGGCTTTCGCCAGACGCCGAAGGGCCGCACCTCCCCGCAGGTTTGAGCTCCAGTGCCCCTTGCTGGGATGATCGGTGATCGGATCGACCAGGAGCCCACAGTGGCCATTGGGGAAGGCATTCTGGGAGAAGTGATGACGATGGCGATGACGACGTTGATGGTAGTGGTGGTGGTGGCGGCGATGGCCAATGACGACCATGATGATGAAGAGCAGTGAAAGTGGGTGACCAGTAATACGATGATAAGGAGGAGGACGAAGACATTCTGCACGCGTGCGAGAGGTCGAGGTTCTGGGGCCTTCTGGAACTTCAGAACGAGACCATATTGCAGTTGGGGGAGGGAAGGGAGGTGCACGAAGAGAGGCGAAAGGATCGGGACAAGGAGGAAGATGAGGAGGAGGAGGAGGAGAAGAAGAAGAATTGCTTCCGCTTCGCGAATCCCCACCAGCCCATTCAGGAGCCCTGCCCATGAGAGCTGACTGACGGGTAAAGGGACGAAGAGACGCGCACAGTGAAACGAGGCGGGCAACCAGGGTTAACAAGAGAGGTCTCAGGGAGCAAAGGGGTGGCTTTGGAGGGCCTCTCGGGTCATCCCCAGGACCCAGAGCTCTTTTTGGGCATCTTGGGGCCCTCTTGGGGCTCTTTGGGAGGTCTTCGGGTCCTCTTGGGGCTCTTTTGGGGCGCTTTGGGGCCCTCATGTCGCCCTCTTAGGGCTCTCTTGGGGCTGTCTTAGGGCCACCTTGGGAGCTATGAAGCGCCTCCTGGGGCCGTGCTGGAGACCATCGATCAAAGGAGGGGGGGTCCTCGAGTTGCGTCCCACCTCATGGGCCGTCGAAATAGCCTCTTGGGGCGTTCTTGGGGCCCTCTTGGGGCGCTCTTGGGCGCTCTTAGGGCAGTCTTGGGGGCCACCTGGGCCCATTTGGGCTTCTCGGGGAGGTTATGAGGGGTCGCCAAAAGCACCTGGAAGCGTCTTCTGGCCCTCTTGGGGCCTCTCGAAGGCATGTTGTTTGCTAGCTTGGGCCATGTTGGGCTATCTTGAGCGATCTTGGAGGCTATCTTGGGCTCCCTGAGGCCCTCTTGGAGCCATCTTGGGCGAGAAGGACCCTCTGACACCTCGCGGAAACCTCCGTCCAGTGGTGGGGGTAGGGGGAGGGGTCAAGCTGCCCACCCGCCCGCAAGCCGTCTAGTCTAGCTCACTCCCACCCGCCATCCCAACACATAAGTCACACCCGAGCCTGAGCATGTTCAGCGGTCGACTTTGGATGGACAGCCACTGGGGAACCAAAGCCGACCCCAGGTGCGCGACGCTTGGGCGAGGTGCGCCACGCGTGCCAGAGGGGCCATGCGCGCCAGGCACCCCTGGGGCCCGAGCGTGCCAGGCACGCCTAGTGTGCAACGTGCTCCGAGTGCGCCAGGTGTGCCGCACACTCCAGCCGCGCCAGGTGCGCCACTTTCGGGGCACGTGCGGAGTGCGTCAGGTGCCTGCGCACGTGACAGCACACATCGGCAAACATGTCGGCCCCCGCAATCCTGGTCGAAAACCAATGCGCATCATTGTGTCTGGCGGGCCTGTGCGCAGCACGCCACGCGCCACCACCCCCGCCGCCCCTGTTAAAAAACACTTGACAGTATCGCGCGGTGGCCGCGCATGATCCAGATTTAGCCGCGAGGTGCATGTTGTATTGTTTGTTGACAGGGATGATAGCCTTGCGCACAGCAGGGAATATGCTGACAGCCCCGCCGTCCCTGTCGAAACCAATACAAAGTTCTTGCGGGCCTCACGAATATGACTCAAGACTTTCTGCCTGAAAGTGTATTTTGCATTGTCACTTGACAGGGATGGTGGGGGAGCGCATCGGGTTGGCCGCGCATGCTCCAAATGTGGAGGCAAAGTGCGGTTTGTATTGTTTTTTTTGGCATGGAGGGGGGTGGCACATGGAGTCGGCAAGGTTCCGGGTTGGTCGCCGGCTGGGCAGGGGAAGGGGTGTTGATCAGGCTACCCACCCGCCCGCAAGCCGTCTAGCTCACTCCCACCCGCCCTCCCAACACATATGTAACACCCGAGCCTGAGCATGTTCAGCGATCGTCTTCGGATGGACAGCTACTGGGGAACCAAAGCCGACCCCAGGTGCGCGACGCTTGGGCGGGGTGCGCCACGCGTGCCAGGGGCGCCACGCGCGCCAGCGTGCCAGGCACGCCTGGTGCGCCAGATGCGCCACGTGCTCCGAGTGCGCCAGGTGTGCCGCACACTCCAGCCGCGCCAGATGCGCCACTTTCGGGGCACGTGCGGAGTGCGTCAGGTGCCTGCGCACGTGACAGCACACATCGGCAAACATGTCGGCCCCCGCAATCCTGGTCGAAAACCAATGCGCATCATTGTGTCTGGCGGGCCTGTGCGCAGCACGCCACGCGCCACCACCCCCGCCGCCCCTGTTAAAAAACACTTGACAGTATCGCGCGGTGGCCGCGCATGATCCAGATTTAGCCGCGAGGTGCATGTTGTATTGTTTGTTGACAGGGATGATAGCCTTGCGCACAGCAGGGAATATGCTGACAGCCCCGCCGTCCCTGTCGAAACCAATACAAAGTGCTTGCGGGCCTCACGGACATGTTCAAGACTTTCTGCCCGAAAGTGTTTTTTGCATTGTCACTTGACAGGGATGGTGGGGGAGCCGCATCGGGTTAGCCGCGCATGCTCCAAATGTGGAGGCAGAGCGCGTTTTGTATCATTTTTGTTGACAGGGATAGTGGGGGGTGGCCCGCATGGTGTTGACATGGTTCTGCGTTGGCCGCCGGTCGGTTGGGGGAGGGGGTGTACATAAAAAAAAGAAGAGTGATAGACTCCTCCCCGAAGGGGAAGAATGGTTTTTGGATGAGAAAATGCAGACATCCTTAGACCATTTGCGCCCAGAGAGATGATAGGATAAATATGAGCATCTTGGAGGCGGATTTCTGAAGCGTCCCAGCAGGCGGCTGAAACAAATGTTTTCTCTTTCGGGACGCGTGTGGACAGGTATGACGGGCTCAGCGTGCAAAGCAACAATATTAAGGCACCCACAAGACTCAAGCGACGATTTGCTTCAGGGCGTCGCGTTGGACAGAGACATTAGTTTGGCGTTACAGCTGGCCTTGATTGGTTTGCTGAGTTTCAATGTACAGGGTCACTGACACAGCAGCGGCCGTATATACAGTAGCGTGATATTAGGATTGCGCTTGCGTTGGATTGAGCTTGGTGTATCCCGTCCGTCCCATTGGTCTGCCGCATTTGTTTCGCAGCCGAACTAGTTGTGCGACAACGCACGGCTCGTCCTGGTCAGGACCCCCCCCCCTGGCGTATGGAGCGTAAGGGGGTTCAAGATCCAGGCATTTTACGATTGTAAATATATGCAGACAAGTTTCCGACTGCATTTTTCTTGTCGCCTCACGATCGTAGCTGACCCCGCCACCTGCGCGTTTGCAGACGCTACGTTTAAATGCACAGGGTCAGCGACAATGGTTCCACATCGCATCGGGCTATCGGGCGCAAAGAAGCATTGCCGACGCATCCATCCTCGTCGCCTCGTCCGAGCTTTGTCCCACCGCTTGCCCATGTTCCATATATGATCCAGGGCTCCGCCCCCCTCCAATGCCAATGGGATCGGCCCCCCTCGCACCGCTGGATGGGTACGCCCGTGAGCCTTGCGAATGAGATCGCCCCCCTTCCTGTGGCCGTGGCCCTGAGGGCGTGGGGTTGTGGAGGGGGTGCTGGGTGTGGGTGTGGGGTGGTGTTACGGCGTCGTCGTCGACGTCGTCGTCGTCGTCGCCGTCGTCGTCGTCGCCGTCGTCGTCGTCGACGTCGTCGTCGTCGTCGCCGTCGTCGTCGTCGCCATCGTCGCCGTCGTCGTCGTCGTCGTCCCCCCCCCACCATCCCATCTGGGGCGGGGGGGGGCCCTGTGGAACTCTGGGACCCATCCCGTCTGGGCGGGGGGGGCCTGTGAGCCCTCGACCCAGGATCGCATATGGCAATTTGGTTCTTGCTACCCAGAACGTGTGTTTGCGCTCGACTCGCCATGCCATACCCCTTGCTTAAATCACGAGCGCGCAAATAACCGCGCGTCGCGGCCTGGGTCAGACAAGTTGCCCTTCTCTCCAGCGGAGCGGCGCCCGGGGGAGAGGCTGCGCGAAGACAACGGCGCGTCGCGCATCGCGGGGCGGGATGCGTGAAGTTGGTTGGCCCAGTTTGCACAAATCTCCGCTGTTGCAGGGCGATGCACCTCACTCGCTGTGATTCATGAGCGCATACAGTGGAGACCCATGCCAAGAAGCACCCTTCCTGCCTTCAGGGTGCCCTGTTTTTTTTTGCGATGGACAGCGTGACGTTTTCACACACCAAGAATCAAGAGACGCCCTGGGGCTCAGGGTTGGGTTTCTTGTGGAAGGTTTCTTGTGGTCGAGCTCCTACTGTCCCAGACATGTGACGTCCAGTTTTTTTCTAGAAGTCCGGACCCTTTCCCCAGGAACGGTTTCTCATCCTGAGTCGTTTTGCTGACGGTCCCGAGGCCCAGCGAGGGCCCCCCGAGGCCGAAATGGGCCAATATTCAATAACCTCTCACCCTGATTTTTGCTACGGCGCGATCGTGGCTGGGATTGCACGTACCTTGTCTCCCGCTCGCGCCGCCGTCCGTGCCGCCGCGGCTGGAGAGTGCGCGGCCCCCCGCGGGCGCCTCCCGCAGCCGCCATGCGCTCGGCGCAGGCCAGGGGAGTGAAGGACCCGCTCGGCGCCGTAGGCCGCCGATCGGGAAGGCGGGGGACGAGGAGGCGGCAGGAGGCAGAGGGAGGAGGCAAAGGGAGGAGGAGGAGGAGGAGGTGGAGGGGGGCAGGAGGCAGAGGGCGGACGAGAGGCGGCAGGAGAAGAGCAGTGGAGGTCGAGACCCAGACAGGATCGCGTCGTACAGAAAAATCCAGACGGGAGGTTTTTGGCCAATTTCGGCCTCGGGGGCCCTCGCCTCCTCCTCCTCCTCCTCCTCCTCCTCCTCCTCCTCCTCCTCCTCCTCCTCCTACGTGCGACAAAGGGCAAGGGCTCCGTCTACGACTACGCGATCGTCAGGTCCGACATCGCCACCCACATCACCGCAGAGGCAGTCTATGATGTGCCGTGGAAGACCCACTGCGGCATACAGGTAACCATCGGCGACTCCGAGCCCTGGGGCTACCGCACTATAAGGGTCCCCGATGCCCTACCCGCTCGAGCCAGGCCTAAGAGGGGCCCTGATGCGATGAGTAAACGGTCGAGAGCTCGAGCGGAGGCTTTGCGATCCAGGAGGGATAGGCTGCCCGAGCACCTGCGCGAGGAGTTCGATGCCCTCCACTACCCAGAGACCAAGCCGCCAGAGAACGACACGCCGTTCTTCCTCCCCGACTGCGTATGGGACACGGCCGCGTGCACCGTGGCCACGTACCCCAAGTTCCAGGGCGACCTTGTGGGCACCAAGGAGGGCAGGGGCCACATTTTCCACGCGCACGCTCCCCTTCACACGAAGCAGGTCAACACAGCCTACGCGCACTGGGTCGCCACGCTCGAGATCGCGTTTCTGGAGACCCACTCCGTCCCCGCCGAGGAGAGGGCCAAGTGCCACGGCAGGGCGCAGGGCTACCAGACGGCCCACTAGGTCGTGCAGGCGACCCCTGGCCGCGCGCACCTCAACGACCCCGAGGCAAGCTGGTGGAAGCATTTTGGCGCGCTTCTGCAGCGCTACGCGGCGCGAGTCAAGAATGGCAAGGACGTGGCGGCGCAGGGCTCGACCGCGAAGCACAGCCAGACGAAGTTGAATCAGTTCGACAGCGACGACTTCCACAATAATTACTTCGGCCCCAAGGTCGACCCCGCTGCGGTTGAGGGGTGGAAGCTGCAGGTTGCCTCCCGGGACTTCTGCGACGAGCACGACCTCCACCACATCTGCGCGACCACTGAGCGCCGGCAGCATGGCGCCACAGCCAGGGCCGCGGGGAAGGCCCGCAAGCGATACCTTGACTGGGCCAAGCGGGCCTGGAAAGAGTCCCCAGGGAAGCTCCACCGCGTCGTAGAGAACCCGAGCCCACCGAAGCTGGAGACTAAGCTCCATGGCGTCACCTTCGCCGGCCCCTACACCGTCATGAATAGGGCCGCAGACGCTTGGAGGCAGATCTGGACCACCAACTCCTACGACGAGCAGCAGATCATGCAGGCCTACCTGGAAGCGATGCGCAGGGCGAGGGGGGGCCCGCTCCCCAGCATCGAGCCGCAGCACATCTACGCGGTAGTCAGCGTTGCGGACCCCAAGAAAGCCCGTGGGGTCGACACCGTCGGCCCCCTCGACATGCAGAGACTGCCTCCCAGGGGCGTCAACCAGCTGGCCCAGCTCTACAACTTCGTTGAGTCCAATGGGCTATGGCCGCAGCAGTTCTGCGCCACTTTTGGCGCGATGGCCCCCAAGCCTGCAGGAGGCGAGCACACACACACACACACCACACACACCATCCCGAAGACCTGGAACAAGACCCGCACCGCAATCACCGACCAGTGGCCCAGGGGGCTCGGCGAGTTTTGGGACACCGCCATCCAGGGCCCCAGCGCCCTACGCGCCGCCTTAACCAGGGCGCCCCTCGACGAGACGGCGGCGGCCCCTGGCTTCTCCTACGCTACCCCCCCCCCATGGACGCTGGGGCGTTCTATGGCCCCGTCTACTTCGCCAAGCTCCTGGACACGGCCGTCCAGACCAGATGCCCACCCATAGTCGTCGTCGTGCTGGAGGCGCAGCTGATCATGGCCTCCAGGTACTTGCGCATGCACGGCTGGATCAGCGACATCATCGACCCGCAGCGCCCCATCGCGCTGGCAGCGCGCACGGAGGGAAGCTTGCCAAGGTCTACGTGGGCCCCATTCTTGCCAATGCCCACCGCAACTACGCCTGCGCTGGCCTGCGGGCCCTCGTGGGCGACACGGTCGCAAGGACCGAAGGAGAACCCAAGCAGGTCGCCAGGGGCCTCGCAGACGTGGGCATCATCTTGTTCGATGGCATGACGGAGGCTGAGCTCAAGGTGTCCCCGATGACCACGGTGATTGCTTCCTCGGCTGCGGTCGCCCTCAACGTGCACACCTACCTCAAGCGCGCGGGCTACTCCATCAAGGCGCCCCGCACCGCGGTCGACCCGGGCATCGACACTGTCGGAGCCCGACGCAGAGCGGCGGTCAGAGCCGCTCAGAGGGCGCAGAAGGCCAAGCGCAGGACTGGGCGCATCATTTCCAAGATCCACAGGCACGCCTCGCTCGCCGAGATCGCGAAGGGCCTCTGGGCAACGGGATCCCGTCCGCAGGGCACCTACGGCCGCCAGGTCTCGGGCCTCTCCCCGCGCACCATCACCGAGCAGAGGCGCCAGGCCGTACAGGTCATAGCGGGAAAGGTCCCTGGACGCTGTCTCACCACCGCCCTCGCTGTGATCCTGGGCGACAAGGACCCAGGCATAGAGCCCCGAAGGCAGACCATTCTGGAGTGGCTAAACTTCTGGTTCGCGAACCCGAACTACCACCAACGCATCTGCAAGGCCCGGCGGATCATCCACACGAAGGTCACCCGCAGCGGCGCGAGGCGCTGGCGCCAGGTGGTGGGCCCTATCTCCACCGTCCAGGCCATCCTCCTTGACGCTGGGTGGGACTGTCCTTCCCTTTTTGCGTGGTCTCGCCAGCCTCGAGAGGGTGAGCAGGGCCCGCAGACATGGCCCCTACCTCACAAGGACTGGAGACTGGGAGCAGAGACGCGAGCAAGTCGACCCGTCGCAGCTGGCCCTGGAGTTTTGCCAATCCATCGCGAGCGGCTACTGGCAGGCTGCAGCGGGACATCCTGATGGCGATGGACTTCAGCGAGGAGGGGCCGACGTCCAAATCGCGACGCACGAGATGAACAAGTTCATGCGCGACGGACAGTGCGACCAGTGGTCGCTGAACCTGTGCGTGGTGGCGGGAGCGCAGTGGCCCCGCGAGCGTCTAGTCGAGGCCGGCTGCCAGGCCGAGGCCACATGCCCGAGGTGTGGAGCCGCCGTGGAGACGCTGATGCATCGGGTCTGGCTTTCCCCCAGCAGCCGCGACCATGAGGACTACGAGATATCTGATGCCCCCCCCCCCCCCCCCCCCCTCAGCCCTCGCATGCGCTGAGGCTGATCCTGCATGCTGGCTCTGTGGCCTAGCCGCCCGTGCGGACACGCACCTTGTATTTCAAGATATGGGAGGGGGCGGTGACGACTCGGATGGCCTCCTCACCCTGCACGGCGACGGTTCGGGGGGCAAGTGCAGCGCCGACCCCCTTCGCCGCAGGGTGGGCGCCGCTGTAATCGCCATGCAGTCTCGCTTTGGGGAATGGGCCCCCTGGGGAGGTATCCTGTCGGTCTTGGAGGGCGCATTCCCAACGGTGCCGCGCGCCGAGCCCCTAGCATTCGCACTGGCCCATCGAGCACTCGTTTGGCGACCTGCGCTATGTCGCTGACAACGCGCCCCTTCTGGGCGGGTGGAGGTCGAGCC